GAGAGAGAGAGAGAGAGAGAGAGCACCGATGCCCGCCAAGCACAACATGGGAAGAAACAAAGAGAGAGAGAGAGAGAGAGAGAGAGAGAGAGAGAGAGAGAGAGAGAGAGAAAGAGAGAAAGGGAGACATGAAAGAAAAATGAGACGCCATCAGCGAGTGTTGGTGTGCGCCGTGGCGGGGTCCACTTGTAATTATTATAAACAAAACCAAGAGCAGGGTATGTATATGTTTTTTGTCTCTGAGAAAGGGGAGGCCGTTAAATCACCCCCAGAGATAAAAAGTGTCGTCGCTAAGTACCCTGTTCTGTTTAAGGAGTCTACAGTAAACAGGGAGGTTGTCCATGCCATAGAGATCATCCTGGGAGCAAGATACCCAAAGGGAGAATGTATAGGATGGCTCCGGCCGAGTTGAACGACTTTGTCGGCAACTGAAAGAGCTCACAAAAAAAGGTCGGATACGGCCTAGCATCTCCCCTTCGGCTCCCCAGTTCTATTCGTACCGAAGAAGGGGGGATCACGAAGGATGTGCATTGATTATAAGGGCCTTAATGCCATAACCGTTAAGAACGCAAAGCCCCTACCGTACATCGATGACCTATTGGATAGGGTGCATGGATGTAAGTACTTTACCAAGATAGACTTGAAATCCGACTACCATTAGATTGCCATTAGACCGAAAGATCAGCACAAAACCGCATTTCAGACCAGGTACTACGAGTTTGTGGTGATGCCCTTCGGCCTTTGCAACGCGCCGGGTACATTCCAGCACGCCATGAATAGGATCTTTCATAACTACTTGGATAAGTTAATCGTAGTGTACCTCAACGACATTCTTATCTTAAGTAGGACTATGGAGGAGCATGCTCAACATGTAAACAAAGTTCTTTCTCTCCCCCGATAGCACAAGCATAAGATAAATTTAGAGAAATGCGAGTTACTAAAATCTTGTACTTGGGTCATGAGGTATCCGCGAAAGGGATTAGGCCTGAAGATGCGAAGGTGGCTAACATTAGAGACTCGCCACGACCCCGGTCTGTGCCTGAGGTCAGATCATTCTTGGGAATGTGTGGTTATTACCGCAATTTCGTACAAAACTAGAACACGATCGCATCTCCCTTGACTGATTTAACGCGCCTTGACACTCCATGGGAATGGGCAGACAAATGTGAGGCTGCCTTCAAGAGACTGAAGCATGCCCTTACACATCATGAGGTTCTCATGGTCCCTGATCCTCAAGGCCATTTGTAGTGACCACAGACGCAAGCCAGTACGACATTGGCGCAGTGTTGGCTCAGCAGCACAGGAAGAAGTTAACACCGATCGATTACATGAGCAAGAAGATGCCATCGAAGAAGTTGGCAAAGTCCACCTACGAAAGGGAACTCTATGCCCTCTATAAGGCACTTGTCCACTGGAGGCACTATCTGTTGGAAAGGTTCTTCTACTTGAGGACCGACCATCAGACACTCGAGTGGATCAAGACACAACCTGTTCTCTCCGATGCACTCAAACGTTGGATTAAAGTTATAGATCAATATGACTTCAGGCTAGACTATGTGAAAGGGGAGTATAGCAAGGTTGCTGATAGCCTGATGCGTTGTCACATAGAGCAAACTACCTGGGTGCGTTGATCATAGAGTTTGGGTTATCTGACGATGTATCTCGATCCTTGGTGGAAGCCTACAAGGAAGACCCTGTCATGATGGACATCATCCGCAAACTTGAGGCCAAAGATAAGGCCACCTCTGATGAGTTTGTGATGGTGGATGGGCTACTCTTTCCTGGAAAGGCTGGGTTCAAACGGTTAGTGGTTCCATCTAGGGACGTTTTGCGCAGTTTATTTTTAGGAGAATGTCATGACGCAACAGGGCATTTTGGCTACAAGAAGACTTCTGCTAACTTAGTACAACGATTTTGGTGGCCTAACATGCTTGAGGATGCCAAGAAATATGTGCAGACTTGCCAAGTCTGTTAGCGGGACAAGCCGAGGACTCGAGCACCACTTGGGTTATTGAAGCCTCTACCCGTTCCTGCTGGTCCGAGACAAAGTGTTTCTATGGATTTCATGGATACCCTCATGACCAGCAAGAATGGCAAGAGGCATATCTTCGTCATAGTGGATAGGTTCACTAAGTATGCTAGACTAATTGCCATGCCGGAGACTGCCAGGACTGAGCACGTCATCAAGTTATTCATGGATAACTAGGTCCGTGATTTTGGACTGCCCAAGACCATTGTTAGTGACAGAGATGTCCGGTTTACCAGTGAGATGTGAAAGAAGGTCGCTGAACAGATGGGCAGCCAGCTTCAAACGACTTATGGGAATCATCCCGAAGCCAATGGGCAGGCTGAACAGATGAACCGTGTGGTGCAGCATCTGCTGAGGCATTATATCAAGCCCAGCAAGGATGACTGGGATGAGATGTTACCTCTCATTGCCAGTCTGTACAACAATGCCGTACATAGCACCACCGACGCCAGTCCTAATCAGCCACATCTAGGGTGGAAGCCTAGATCTGCTCTAGACTTCCTCCTGCCGGAAAACCAACTGTTGCAACTCCTGGAACCATCGAGTTTGGTGTCCAGTATGAGAAGTTGCAGCAGACTGTCCAACACATCAAGAAATCTCAAGAAGCAATGCTTGCTTCTGAGAATAAGCATCGCTGACAGTCCACATTTCAGGTAGGGGAAAGTCTGGGTCAAGGCTAGTGAGTTGGGACAGGAGTTCGGCATCTCTAGAAAACTAATGCCTCGGTATTGCGGTCCCTAGGAAGTCTTGGATATTGTGGGTAGTGAAGAGGATGGTCCCTCGTACATAATTCGTATCCCTGGTCACCTACGCACTTACCCTGTGTTTCACTCCTCAAAGCTTGCACCATTCGCTGAGACAGAACGGTTCCCATCAAGGAGATCTATGCTGCCCCATAGTTGCAACCATGGATGGTCACGTGGACATTGACAATATCCTGGAGCACAGAGACAGGCCTGTTCCCAAGCCAGCTGGCAGGGGTAGACCGCCTAAGCCTGTGAGAGAGTACAGAGTACGGTTCAGGCATCATATTGATCCTAAGGAAGATCGATGGTTTACAGAGGAGGAACTTGTCAAGACAGCTCCTCAAATTGTGGCCGAGGATGAAAGAAAATTGAAGGGGAAGGCACCAGCATGAAGCATCTCAGCTGACTTTCGAAGCTAAGGGGGAGGGAATGCGAGGAATGAGCCCTCGTGGGGCCCTTATCCGAAATGCACATGTTCTGGGCAGAGGCCCCCAGCAAGCCAAGTGCCTGCCCTAAGGGAAGGCGGGCCTGAATATTCACCAGAGGCCAAAACTTGGCATTTTTCATATGTGGGTACTCAGGCTGTTGCAACCCGCCAGTTGGTTGAGTGGACGCGTGAGCCTCCCTTAGCTGCGTCGAACAGTCCCAGGCCGTGGCAGTTGCGCCTGGGCACATACACACAATGCAGGGCCGATACATCACGAAGTGGCCACAGGCCTACGAAAGCAGCATTGTCGACATACATACCCCGGGTCCTGTGCAAATGCAGCAAACAGCCCAAGTCCGAAGACTCAGGCCGTGCCCAACTGTAAAGGGCCCAGGCCCTCAACTGTAGCATTGGGCCTGGGCGCAGTACTGGGGCCCGACCGGAAGCTACTGGAAGCTTCCCAGCCAGGCCACACACAGCCAAGCAGGGGCTGCCACTTCCATATAGGAAGGAGGGCAGACAGGGGCAAGCATTCTGGCCCACGCAGGCAATGCGGTCACGCTGCTGCGCTGCTGCGTTAGAGACTGCGTGCTGTGCTGAGGCCAGAGCGTGTGCGGGCGCATGTGAGGTGAAGAGTGGCGCTGCTGGGCAGTGGAGCACAAGCAGCCATAGCCGAGCTTTAGGGCGCTAGGGGGGTGAGAGGGCGATCGGTGGTCTTCAGGACGGAGGCGAGTGTGGTTGGACAGGGTCCGACGAGGCGAGACGAGATACGTACCTGGTACACGAGAGAGGTCGGCTATGGTGTTGACGTCATGTACATTTGTCTTCGACAGTCAAAGTGAGCCTGTTGCGAGAATGCTGATGTAGGTAGGATAGTCGAGTAGCCTAGGCCGGGCGCCGGGTGCCAGACAGGGAGGAGCGACTTTGGATACTGTGACGGTGTGGCCTAAGGGCTTGAACATTGGCTCATTACTTCATTGTATTGCTCTTATTTCGATGGAATCTCAGTGCATTTATGCTCTCTGCTTGTACACGACTACTTGGACATCTGTGTGATTTCGCAACTTGGTTTTCTGTATATCGTTCCCACTCGTATTCCTTGCACTCCCTTCACAACAGCCAATTGACCCTACACAACACTTCAGAACACTCAGTTTATTAGGCATTTTTCATTTGCACTTCTGTCCATACTTTTCCCCATTGCTCACACCAGCTTGCAAGGACAACCCCTCGGACAACCGCTGGAGTGGTTGCCACTCAGATTGGAAGAGTCAGAAGACTCAGAACTGGCTACTAAGTGAGTCATGGGAATGCGGGCCCCATAGCTCTGCATCCTTCCTGTGCAGGAAGGTAGCTGAGATGAAAAAAATAAATCTCCATTAGACAGATACCTTGATGAGTGCATTGGCTCGAGCAATTAACAGGTCGTGCTTCAGCAATTTATCACTCTCCTTTTCATCACTGAGTGACATGTTTGCAAGCACCTCTGTAAAAAGCCAAATTGCCTCTGTCCACTCTCCCTCCGACAAGCTCCTGTTCTCCATCCTTTCTGGCCGCAAAAGCTTTAGACATTCCATAAGCTGCACCCACCAACACAGAATTCATTACACATTCATCCAACAAATCACCCGTTAGCACAATACAACCCCTCAGAGGGTGGCTAGGTATATCCGCTGCAACAAATCACCAGTCAATATACCTTGTGACAATGCCCTTGCCACTTTTCACGTTTCTGAGTAGTGGCGAGGCACTCTACCACTGCTTCTCCAGCACCTCCTGTAACAGGCAAGCATTTGAAAGACAACTGACCCGAGAGGAGTCTGATACAACATGTGGTACAGACACACCAAAATGTACAGTCCATGAATAACTAGACCTGCAACAATGGTCACCACCAGAGCTCACAGGATACAATAGAAAGGTACTGGAGCAGAAAGGAGGCTGGGATGTGCCAATGAGAGGGAGGGAATTACTTGGGTCAAGGGTGTGAGTTAGATGTGCAGAACAGCCCTTGTAATGGGTGGTGAAACTGGTTGTTGCCCCCACAATACGAGCCACAATCCTGGAAATTTTCTTTTTGGGTCACTTGAAAAATGTTACCAATTCTGGGATACTGACCGGGGCACCTGGGTCACCTTGGTTGCCTGGGCCCTCAGGGAGAGTCCCTGGAACACATCGAAATTCTTTGATGTTTAGGCTTGGGCACCGGGCTCGAGTGAAATGAAGAAGAAACAGGGGGGGTTAAAAAAAGGGGAAATTCTTGACCGAATCACAAATTTTAAAAACAAATGCAAGGAACATGAGCGAGAGCGATAGACAGAATTCCAAGTTGCCATGCTGTAGCCCAGATAGTCGTGTACCAAGCAGAAAACACAATGCACCGTGAGTTATCAGCCAAATAAGAGCACAACAATGAACTCAAATGTCAATGTCGGCTCTCTCTGTCCGCACCAACACAGTATCCAATGTCACTCATCTCTATTGGCGGTCAGTGCCCAACCTATCTACTCAGCACCTATACTAGCCTACACTACATTCATGCAAGGGAATCACTTTGTTGCCGAAGACCAATGAAAGTGACAATGTCGCCAATGCAGACTGCCAGCACACACCAGGTACGTGTCTCTCTCCTCTCACATCACCCCTTGACTTCCCACAGTGTGCCTACCCGACACCCAAAGACCACCATCACCATCACCAGCCTCCGCTGAGCAAGCCCGGCTATGGCTGCTCAGCGCCCGCTGCACCAGCAGCACCCAACACCACAATGCGACCGTGTGTGCGCAGAAAACAAATTTTGTGCAGAAGTTTGTCAAAAGTAGTAGTCGCATTTGTAGCAAAGCATTGCGATAATATATTGAACTATTTGGAGTAAGAATTTTCATAAGCATTTGATCTAGAATCATTCGCAAAATAGTTTGTCTCCGAAGAAAAATTGAGATGTGTAGATATACGTGTGCATGCCTAGTAATAGGTTAGCAATAAGGTAGAGCCTATGACTTTGACAAGCATACCTCTTTAAAGTCAGAACCAAGGTAAACCGATTATCTCGACTGCAATGTCGAGGTAGTGGTCAGGACCAACTTTTGTTGGCAAGTTATTTTAAGTCAAATTTAATTAAAATGGTTGAAATTTTGAATATTTTTGATGGTCAGTTCTCTTTGGACCAATTTTGATATTTTGGTGTGTTTTTCTCCAAGTTGAGTACTTAAGGGACTAGGATCAATTAATGGTTTCACGCTTGGTTGAGGCCGTCCTAGTTGACAGACATCCGCTTCATACTTAGCACATCAGCGTCCTAAGGAACGCACAACGTTTGGATCTGCTTGGCGTTTAACCAAGTGCATCTGTACTACAACGAAACGAGCAAATGCCCTCGGCCGATCTACCTTTGCACATGTGGGTGAGTAGCTCGGTAGGGATATGCCCCTAAGGGTGGTGACAGGAGTAGTTGTGCCCCGCAGGAACCTATCCTGTAGTGGACTTCGGGAAGTACGGCTGACGCACCCAATTTGAGCGACGAAGGGACGAAGCGACCGCACCCACCTAGGCGGTTCGCGGGATTACTTTGCGTCATTCCCGAGTTGTTTCTTGTTTTGTTTTGTTTTCTTTTAACTCCTGCGTGACATGGTCGGGAGGGCTCTTGCCTTTTGCGAAAAAGGCGGGAGCCGATGCGTTCGACGACGGGTAGTCAGAGGTCTAGTTTGGGATGATTCGGATAGTTACCCCTACATTATCCAAATCCAATAACACCTATCAATCTATCCAATAAGTTGTATCCCTGTTCGCATACATAGATATTTGGAACTAATTATACATTTTATCAAAGGATATTAGTTGCCCCCAACCATGGATGAAGGTATCAACGATAAGTCCTGCTACTTCAAGTATGCTACAATTATTAGATATATTCTCAAGAGTGCAGAGACTTCAGACTGGAAGTTACAAAAGCTTCTCTGGGACTTTCAGAGCTAAGGGGGAAGGTATGCAAAAATTTGAGCCCTCGGCAGTGCTGGAAAAGGCCTTGCCCGCCCTAAGTGAAGGCAGGCCTGCTAATATGTGTCAAGGCCTGGGTAGAGGTCATTGTGATCACGCTAAACGGCTGGTGGAATCTATATGCGGGCCTGAATCTGCGCAGAGGCCCTTCTAGGGCTCACCCCACATCTCAGTTGAGGCCCCGTACAAACTTGTGCCCGCCCTAAGTGAAGACGGGCCAGAATATTTACGAGAAGCCTATTTTTGTCAGTTCTGCATGTTGGGTATCAGACAGTTGCAGCACACCAGTTGGTTACAGTGTAACGTGAGCCCTTTTCTTGGCTCATTCTGGCAGCAGCAGCTCAAGAGGCAGTTGAGTCCAGGGCACGTACAGTTGAGGCCCTGGGCATGAGCCACCAGAGGCCGACACATCACAGAACAGCCGTGGGGCAATGAGAGTGCAGCATCTTCGTCACACACCGGCCAGCAGCCAATGAGATCGTGACGGACACTTGTAGCCTCGTGGGCTACCTGGGCGTGCCCAACTGTAAAGGGCCCAGGCCCGTAACAGCAACTGGGTGCCTGGGCGCAGACACTGGGGCCCGACTGGAAGCTACTGGAAACTCGTCCAGCCAGGCCCAAAGCTCAACAAAGCAGAGCTCACTTTCCAGCACGGCAGCCAGAGGGGAGTCTGGCCGTGTGCTTGCTGGCGGCAGCGCTGCTGGTTTGACCTCTGGAGGCCGCCGGTAGGCCAATTGGTTACCCCTCAATGCAATAGTCTCATCATCGGATACTATCCATCCGGTTCGTCCTATCTACGAAATATATATATATATATATATTAATATTACCTTGTCGGGCCATGCAAAAGTAACAATGGCCTTGGCGTAGGAACAACTTGACGTGGCCCTTTGGTCAGTCTATAAAGGCTCATTTAGCCATGATATAGTTGTCAACCCTCTCGGGTCTCAGCGTCAATCTCGTCAAGTGGTGCGAACCCTTCGGTATCAAAAGTCAAAGTGGTAACACGGGTAGCTCGTACAACTCAAACTGTTTGCGCGCCATAGAGGGAGGTAATCCGAGAGGCCAATCTCCAAACACTGGCACGGAATCGCTTGCACATTCATAAAAGGTGCCCTGTCGTGTTGTTCCTGATCAGGACGATGCCATAACGGTCCCCGGATGAAGTAATCTCAACACTCACAATGACCCGAGAAAGGCATTGGAGGTTACTCGCGTGATGGAAATACAAAATATATCCCTGTAGCTCACCCAGAAGCTCACATACATTAGCACGAACATCCACGCGCGAGATAGGGAAAAAACTTGCCCATCATTGAGCAAGTCAATAAATCCGACCCATGGAGTTGGCGCGTTGTCTCGAACCAATAGAAGTTGCTCCCTCGCTGGATTAGGTCCTTGTCCGAAGTATCCCGCACCAACAAGTGCCTCGCCTGGGTATGATCCCGTCGACTGTCAGCCATTTGTCCACAAAATGAACCACGCTTAGCTTCGATGATACGTCGAAGGTTTTGAACTTCCTCCCGATATACCACCCTTTGGCACACCTGCCTACCTACTTGTTCAAAGCGGTTTGCATGGATCCGCTTGAAGAAGTCTATATTCTCGAATGGTCTCACACGAGCGTCGTAGTGCAAAATAAGTCTGAGGTATATCCACCAAATTTCAAGGTCATAAAGAGACCGTAGCTCGTCGTTCTCAAAACCATAAACAACATGAAGGTCATATCAACCTGGTCCCGCAAGCCCGACTAAAACTAACCTCGAGGATTTGTGCTCGAGTCGAGGTTATTATTCGGTAGGTTCGTGGCGGATTTCAGTCGAACCACGATCCATTCTCAACTCTCTCCCTTGCGGAAATACCTCCACCGGGTCAAAAACCATGCTTCGGACTCCGTCTAATTCCATATCTCTTTGCCTCTGCTACATGCTCTGCAACAACTTCTTTGCTCCTAAATAAAACAAGCATAGCAAGCTCTGCAGACATCTAAAAAAAAAAAAACAAGCCAAATAAAAATGACCCTAGATTAAAATTTAGACTGAATGTTTTCCTACTTTACTTAGCCCGACCGCCGTTTTCGCGAGTCGCCGATCATTCATATACTTTCAAATTTTGCTATTTTTCCCTTTTCCCAAGGGTCATTGCGCCTCGTGGCTTGACCCATCACTGCATGTAGTGCCAAAATGCACTCCATCCGAGTCTAGTAAATACATGAACTGGGCTTCTTTTGGCGCCAGTTCCCCACATGTTGGTGACTCCTAAAACGGTCACCCAAAAGGGTGCTAATTTCAGCCTTCCTCCCGCTTGAGAGCATGAGAGAACGATGTCCACTCTTAGCTGCGTGGCCACCCAAAAGGGTGCTAATTTCAGCCTTCCTCCCGCTTGAGAGCATGAGAGAACGATGTCCACTCTTAGCTGCGGAACACCCTACCCTCTAGGAAGTGGTCTGGAATATCCCCCCTCCTTGCTTGAGCACATAGCTCGGATCTCAAAAGTGGGGTTGGCTCCACCGCGATCCAGCAAGATATCCCCCCGTAGTACGGTCCACTCTGGGTCAATATTAGGGTCGACTCCTAAAGCAACA